TATATATATATATATATATATATATATTTATTGAATGATAAAAATACATAACTTTCATATTTAAAAAAGAAAAGAAAAAACTTATTGCATGCCTTGATATTGAAGACAATTATTCAAGGAACTGTTATACAATTAAGCCGTGGTGCCTCATCAATGACGTACTAAAGTTTTGTAATTTTAAAGTGTTTATTGGTTGGTATATGGATAAATCATGATTTAAAAAGGTTGGATATATTAATTAAAAATTTAATGGTTAGATATATTAAACATTATCTAGGAGTATATTTTTAAAGTTATTTTTAAATTTACATTTTTGTCCTTCAATCAAAATTTTCGATGTCTCTATTTATATTGTTTGTAGATCATAAACATTGTCATGACGATGATGTGGTGGCGACGAGAGATGTAATACAATTTCAAATTTTGTATCTTAAAATTTTAGCATAAGTGAATAAAGATTCATCTCTTGTATTTTATCATTAGTTCATTATTTAAAAAAACTTTACATACGGAATATGAAAGATAATTTAGTGACCAGATCCATCCTTTCCCAATTGAATCTTTATTATTGGTGTATTGTTTGGAAATAAAGTAGAAGAAAATTAAAATGAAAAAAACTTGTTTCAATTTCATCTTATCCCCATCAAAAGTTTGAAATAAAACATTTGATCAAAGGCATATTATTAAGTGATATTCTTAAATTCCTAACTATCTTTATCAAATAACACCATGTGATTAAAAGTATTAACGTTGAAAAACACTCAAAAAGAAGTCCAACAAGGACAATCATAGCTACATGAGGGAAGGGTGGAAGGAGGTGTTGAACTCGACAACAAAAAAAGAGGAGTGGTGGGTGAGGCCCAGGTAGCCAAAGGCGGAGATGATGACAAGAGAAGGGGAGGGAGATATTTTTTAATGAATGATATTTTTGTTATTATAATTTTCATCTCTCATACAAATATAAATTAAAACATATATATATATATATTTTTATATCATCAATTTTTTTTTAATATATTCTGTATAATCAAAATTCGAAAACATAATGCCTCACCCATGAGGGTGCTTTTCACGTTGCTTCATGGTAGAACAACTCATTATTCAAACAAACAAGGAACACACAATGTTTAAAAATGAACACATGTCTATTAACTCTTTCTTAATACAATTCGTCTTGTATAGGAAAGAAATACTAGTGATCACTTGCAGCTCGGAAGTGGTGATCCACACAAACACTTATTATGAATGTAAGAGTACACATCATGATCATGGCTATTCCCATTGTCACCCTTTGGAATCTCACCACACAACTTATTGTAGCTCACGTTCAGCATAAACACATTTTCTATCCCAACAGGGAGGTTACCATATATCTGATTGTGACTCACATCCAATGCTAATGATGTTGTTACCTTAGGCAATTCCACTTTTCCAAAATCAAATTCAAACTTGTTCCACGAAATGTCTATTCCTGCCGTCACTTTGGTGGGCCCAAAAAGCATGGATGCATCACCTTCAAACTTGTTATGTGACAAAGAAATAGATGAAAAATTCAACCTTCCCAAGGACATTGGGATTCTCCCCGATAGTTTGTTGTGAGAGAGGTACAAATTTGGGTTGTTATAGTTCTTATCATTGAAGAACCCATATGAGTAAGGGATTGGGCCTGTAAGCTTGTTATAGCCCAAAAAGATTCCTGTGAGATTAGGCAATTGGTAGAGAGAGGAGGGGAGTGGCCCAGAGAGGTTGTTAAAGGTGAGATCCAGATTAATGAGGCTTTTGAGTTGGGCCAGGAAGTTAGGTATTGGGCCTGAAATGTTGGTTGCACTAATGGTGAGGTACTTGAGATGGGTCAGCTTGGATATGGGCCGAGGAATTGGGCCTGTGAGGTTTGGTAAATGGAAGAGGAAAAGGGTTTCCAAGTAAGGTAGGCTACCAATTGAGGGTGGAATTTGAGAGGCAAGGTGGTTGTTGTATGAGAGCTTTAAAGATTCAATACGGTTTGTATTGTGGTTGCATTGGGTACCGTGCCACTTGTCATGGCAACAATCAGTGTTTGGTTTCCATGAAGAGAGAAGGGTTGGGTTGTTGAATTCTTTCTTGATTTGGAGAAGGACCCTTTTGTCTTCTGGATTGCAATACCTTTTAGAAAGGGAAGGTATAGTGTAAGAGAGAAATATGAAGAGGATAAACAACTTTGTTGTCATTGGCTTTGTTTTTTGGGTGTGGATTTGGAGTTTGAGGTGATATAAAAATGAATGGGCCGGAGGGTAGGTTTTATATAGCTAGTAGCATAGGAACACAAGGTTAAGGTGGAAAGATATTGCAAGTTGTATTCCATGCAATTGATGGAATTGTTCTCTAAACCACGTGAGCTCATTGTTATATATGTAACAAGTATTTCATATTACCATGGCCTTGGCATCTTTAATCATTAGCAAGAATTGTATGGGAGGGGTCTAACTCAAACTGGATGATGATATACAATAAATTTGTGTGTTCTATGGGCCATATAAAGTTGAAATCTATGACTTTGTGTTATATGTTTAGCTAGCAAAGTTTCATTTAACATTGAGGACCATCGTTTCGTGCCTAACCTTTATATATTTTATACATCAAAGAAATAATAGAATATGAGAATTTGTGATTTTTAATTAATGTCTCGAAACATTTATCTTGACCTTCTCAACCACATAAGCATGTGATCCTATATTATTTTTTAATATGTAGAAATTAGATAATAGGATTCAAATTTAAGGTTATGTGTATGCTGTTCCAATCTTTTACTACTATAATCCTACAATATATTAAGAAGTGTTAATACAATATTCTTTGACATATTTTTTTTAATATATATTTTATTGGATAAAATTTATTAAAAATTATAAAATTAGGAGAGAAAGAATGAGTCATTAAATAGAATACATGATCACTAAATTTTATATTTTTCAATAATTGAGAATTTATTTAAAAAGTGTGCTGGATGGTATGTTACTATCATTTCTCATAGTATATTAAATAGAACAAAACTTATTATAGTTTTATAAATGGAGTTATTATTCTCTTAGAATTGAAAATTTATCTTTATAATATGAGGAAAGTTATAATAACACTGATGTGACTTTTACTAAGTATTACACTACTTAATAATTTTATATTAAATGTGAATTTTGTAAATTCAACTATTGGATTGAAAGTTCTTTACTCTTATATCATATATACAAAATTTGATATTAATCCAAGATGATTTGATACTTAATTCTTATAAAAAAAAATTGACGTAATATATTCATTTCAAAATATACTAAAATATAAATACTTTGATTACTTTTAAGTTGTTCAATTTTAACAAAATTTGTATACACATATAAAGTGATATAAACTTTCAATCTAACGGTTAAATTTATAAAATTCATAATTAATATAAAGTTATTGATAATACTTAATAAAAGTTACACCAATATTATTATAATCAAATTAATATTTATTAAAATATATTACCAAAATAAAACTCTCATTTTAGAAAATAACGCACCTATGAAACTTTACCTAAAATTTCTCATTACAAACAATTTCCCACAACCGAATTTTGTGGCTGACACTGAAATAAATAAAAAAGCTCAAAATTAGGTGGGGATCAAGTAATTAACTTCATATGGACGAGCGTAGAAATTTTTACTTAAATAATATTTTGTTTAAAAAAATTACAAAAGTATCAACTGTGCAGGTTTATTTATCAATGTAGAACTATTTACTGTTCTGCTTCAAAATCTTATTTTTTTTTTGTTTTTTCAACTCAGAATTCGATTCCCGGGAACCGAATTCTGAGTTACTTAATTTTTTTTTTCGTGTTTCTGGCCCATTTTTGGCAAATTTTGGAAGTGGAACGGCCCGTTCCGGAAGCAGAACGGGCCGTTCTGCTTAAAGACACAGAGGCCTTTTTTAAATTAAAATGGGACCAGAACGGCCCGTTCCAGAGGCAAAATTTTAACATGTTTTTGGAATTTGGAACGACAATGGAACGGCCCGTTCCGGATGACGTTTTCAGAAAGTAAACCTTGGTTTGGAACGGGCCGTTCTGGTTTTGGAACGGCCCGTTCTGAGCAAACAGTAAAAAAAGATTAAATTTTTTATTTTTTATTTTAAAAAAAATAATAATAAAGTTAACAAAAATTATAATAATATCGATTAATCAGGATTCAATTTGATAGTGAAATGTGATAATTTGACCCTTAATTTTTTAAATTTAATTTATAACAAAATATATTATTTTAATAAAATTGATTGAATAGTTAAAATTTTATCCGATAATTATATTGTTGGAGAGAATATATTCCCTATAGTTCAGGGATAATTGTACGTTTTAAGCGCAAGATATTATCTTAAGTGATTATTTAAATATATTATTTTAATAAAATTGATTGAATAGTTAAAATTTTATCCGATAATTATATTGTCGGAGAGAATATATTCCCTATAGTTCAGGGATAATTGTACGTTTTAAACGCAAGATATTATCTTAAGTGATTGTCTAAATATATTATTTTAATAAAATTGATTGAATAGTTAAAATTTTATCCGATAATTATAGTCGGAGAGAATATATTCCCTATAGTTCAGGGATAATTGTACGTTTTAAACGCCAGATATTATCTTAAGTGATTGTCTAAATATATTATTTATAGCTGATATTAAATGTTTCTTAACTTCTAAACATTAATATTAAATATTATTTCATGAATCTTGATTAATTGATATTATTATAATTTTTATGTTAATTTTATTATTTTTATTTTTTAAAAAAAATAAAAAATTTAATCTTTTTTTTACTGTTTGCCCAGAAAGGGCCGTTCCAAAACCAGAACGGCCCGTTCCAAACCAAGGCCTACTTCCTGAAAACGTCCTCCGGAACCGGCCGTTTCATGGTCGTTCCAGATTCAAAAACATGTTAGAATTTTCTCTGGAACGGGCCGTTCTGGGCTCGTTTTAATTTAAAAAAAGGCCTCTGTGTCTTTAAGCAGAACGTCCCGTTCTGCTTACAGAACGGGCCGTTCCACTTCCAAAATTTGTCCAAAATAGGCCGGAAACACGAAAAAAAAAAAAATTAAAATAACTCAGAATTCGATTCCCCGGGAACCGAATTCTGAGTTGAAAAAACAAAAAAAAATAAGATTTTTAAGCTCAAAATTTGGTTTCCCAGGAACCGAATTCTGAGTATGAACAGTAAACAGTTCTACATTGGTAAATAAACCTGCACAGTTGATATTTTTGTAATTTTTTTTAAAAAAAATATTATTTAAGTAAAAATTTCACTAGCGTATAGACCCAATGACCCATCAGTACTTTTAAAACTTTAATAAATTATATTTTAATGCCTTACCGTAACGTAATTCAATATGCAAATCGAATATAAAACATTTTTAAAAAAATAAATGGTACTAGCTACCACTAATATGTGTTATGATAATCCTATTTTCTTCTATAAAAATCATTAACTGGTTAATTTTCCCCGACTTTAGCATTTAAGGAATTCACATTTATTTTAATCCTAACTATAATATCAGAAAATTTTAGAGACTCAAGGACAAAATGAGAAATCATTTCATAGTTTATCAAATGTGAAAAATAAATTTGCATAAAAAATCACTATACAAAAATTTTGATATACATTTTGAGATGCATATTTTAGATAATCATATTATTAATATGAAATATTTATCAATTTTTTTATAACTAATTTCTATAAAAACAATTGATTATTTTGTTAGAATCTTTTATTAATTAATTTGTTTCGTTGAATATCTTATAATGACAAAAAAAAAATTTGGTGTAGTAATAGGAACTTAAACGAGAAGAAAAAAATTAAACATATTTAGTAAAATCTATTACAATATCTAATTTTCCCCGAGTTTAGTATTTAAGGAAAATGATAAATTTATTATAAGAAAATTGTCACATAGTAACACACATTCTATAGTTACACAATATGTGTTATTAAAAATTACTTTTACTCACAATAAATATAATATATGTTGGTATATTGTTAAAAATTAAAGTATAGGTATAGACTATAGTGACACATAAAATATGTTGTTAAATCTCATTCAAAATCAACACTAAAATTGTATGTAGCTATATATCAAATAGGTATATACCTACATATATTATACTTATAGTGACATTTTTTGTATGTCACTATATGTAACATTTTTTGTAGTGATTAAACATCTTTCACATTTATTTTAATCCTAACTATAATATCATATATAGATAATTTTAGAGACTCTAATTTCTCTAAAGGACAAAATGAGAAATAATTTCATAATTTATCAAATGTTAAAAACAAATTTGCATAAAAAAGCACTATATAAATTTTGATATGCACTTTGAGATGCATATTTTAAATAATTATTGAGATATTTTCCATCTTTTTTTTATAGTGACAAAAAAATGGTATAGGAACAGGAACTCAAATGAGAAGAAAAAAATTAAACGTATTTAACAAAAGCTATTACAATATTTGTACGGGAAAGGCCTTTCGGCCGTACCCCTCATCGGCATACAAGCACCAAGACTTGTTCAACATCCTCGATAGCCAAAGTGCGCATGTAGATGATAATAGACTTTGTTCGGCATTGGCCGTTGAAGCCCATTTGGCACCCTCGGCAGGCTAAACCCATTCAACACCTTCGATAGCCTAAACTCATTTGGCATTCTCGACAGCCTAAACAAATTTGGCACCCTCGATAGCCTAAATCCATTTGCCACCCTCGACAGCCTAAACCCATTTGACACCCTTGACAGCTGAAGCCCATTTGGCACCCTCGGCAGCCTAAACTCATTCAGCACCCTTAGCAGCCTAAACCCATTCGATACCCCTCGACAGTCAAGTGTCAATAAAACCCCTTAAACGAATGTTAATCATCTTTAATTAGCAATCAATGGTTAACTATGGCCATAAAGTTAATTACCAAGCACATTATCTAATTTGGTAACTCTAGCACAGGGCCCATTGAAAATCGGACCTCAGTATAAATAGTTCATATCTCAAGATAAAGTTATTGTTCATTTATTACTATCAATATTCTTGTTTGTCTTGACTTGAGTGTCAGAGTGTCTTTTACAGGTACTTCTCCCATCGAAATATTTGTTCAGAATTCTCGTTCGACCTTCAGATTATATGAAGATTACTAGTGTGCCCTCAGACATGTAAAATATCAATTTGTGTAGA